CCTTTCGAGTTTACCATCCATCTATTGCCAAAGAGGGGTTGATGTGCCACCTCCTCCCATCTTTCTGGCGGAGTTTTGTCCGGCAAGGGGAGGCTTCTCCAGGTATTAAGGAGGTTGGGCCAGAAGGGGTCCTTTGTCAAGTCAGCCCTAGCTGTTTGTCTGACTGTAACAGGGTAAGGGTCTCGTTGTCGCGACGCTCTGGAGATTGTCCATCCTCTGTTTTCCAGCCACATTAGCGGGTCATTCCCTTCCTTTGTTTGTGGGCCTAGTCTGGAGATTTGTTCCAGGGTTCCCTGCCAAGGGGAATCGGGGTTGAAAATGAGTCGCTTGATCCACTGTATTGCCAATGCTTTGGTCTGCGTAAGCGGGTCAATGATACCAAGACCTCCCTTTGTTTTTGGCTGGATTATAGAGTGCCATGCTACACGGTTGATTACATTTTGTTTGTCATGGTCCCCTCTCCATAAAAAAACAGCTATTTGATGTTGCAAGGGGCGTAAAGCCTTTTTGTCGAGTGCCCAGATTGCCGATTTATACCACATTGAGGCCAAAACCACATTGTTGATTATAAGAGAGCGTCCCCATAATGAGGTATGCTTATCTTTCCAAAGCGTCATTTTTGCCAATGGAGGGCCCATTATCCATTCTTGGTTGGTGGACGGTCTGCCTTCGACCGTCATTGAGATTCCTAGTACCCTAATGGGGGCCTCTCACTGCGCTCCGAGTTTGCCGAGCTTGGGTACCACTCCTTTTTCTTTCTGGTACTCTCACGGAAAAAAAAAAAAAAAAAAAAAAAGAAGAAGAAAATTTGCGGCTGTGAACTCAGAAAAAAAGAAAGAAAAAAGAAAAAACGAAACAAAGCTTTGGCCGTGATTGCAGTTGTATACATTCTTGGAAGTGGTGGTGTGAGTGTGCCCTCAGTGAGGGCATCTCAGCCCCGTGGCCAGGTTGTCAGATTCGAAAAAGAGAACAGAAGGGGGGGAAAATGGGCACATGGATCCGGTCGTGAAAATGGCTGGATACATTCCCCTTAGTACCAGTGTGATGAGTGTTACAATCCTTTGACCAAACACAGCATGAGGAGATCACGTACGGCTTGAGCAATTCACGGATTCCCCCCTGCCTCATTGGCAGGGGACTTACAAGAAACACACGAGCAAGAAAAAAAAGAAGACAGTAACATCCAGAATGTGACCGCCTTACCGGTGAGGTGCATTCTGTGGAGGAAGACTCTGAGCACGGCCTCCAAGACTACCCTGCCCGACATCATTGCAGTAGGGATAGTATTTTCTTTTTTTCCTTTTTCTTTCACTCGCAGGCAATATAAAAATCTGATTTATGGGACAGTGCCGACCCTGTGTCCCACCCCCGATAACTTCGGGTACTGGCCAAACATCGTAATTTCCCAACACTGGAGGAGGTACTGCTGGGATAGCCTTTCAAAAATAAATAAATAAATAAATAAATAAATAAATAATTTAAAATAACTAAAATAAAATAAAATAAAATAGAATAAAATAAAAAGTTCAAAAAACTTTCAAACTTCAAACGGGACGTGAGCGTTCCTCGTGAGGAAACTCCTCACTGTTAATTTTTAAAGCTGTTGAGCTTCACTGGTGCCGGTGGTGATTTTTTTTTGTTGATGTCACCAGGGTGAAGCGACGCGAAAGGTTTGGATTTGGAAGTTAGGGCGCATTTACACTAGCACTATTGTAAATGTATTTGATAGCATTTACAGCCGGACCTGTATGCATCTGGCCGCAATTCCGTCCATAAATAAGTAGAAAAGTGTTATTTGTGAGCATGCCCTTCCCTTGGTGTGCTGGCCTATGGCGATACAAGGCTTGTTGTTGGACGTGATAATTCGCCTAAGAGCTGGACCCCACAGGGGAAATCTCGGAAGAACTCATCCGCCGGGTGTTCTCTCGGACCCCACAGCCTCTGGAAAGGTGTCTGGAAGTCCTTTTTTTCGTATTTCCCAGACCCCACTGCCTGGAAAAGTGTCGCCTGGAAAAGCGACGAGCGAGTTTCCAAGTCCTTTTCCGGGCAGAAAACGGCCGATCCACGTCATCCACTCCGAAATTTTGTGGCAAACGCAAGGGGCATGGGGGGGGCACCCCCCTACGTCTTCCAGACTTGGAAGATCGCGCAGGTCCATTATGTGTCCGCACGGTGCTACCCATCCGAAGGTCGGACGGGCGGACAGACAAAGCCGCTGTCACACGATCGGGGCAGGCCACCCAGCAGGTCCACCACGGCCTACCCGGGCTTCGATGGCGGACAAAACCGCAGAAATGGTCCGAAAGTCTGGAAGAACTCTTCCAAAAGCCTGGAAAAGAGGCACTTCGGTGGGGTCCCATTTTTTCGTTTCCAAAACCTTCCAGGACTTCCGTGTCGCTTTTCCACGAATAGTGCCTTTTCCAGACTTTTGGCGGTGGGGACCACCTCTAAGTATTTTTGCGGGTGCATCTTTCTCTACACGTCTTTGTGCCGCTCACTGTCTAGTTCACAAGGCACCTGGTCCATATTTTGTTGTTAACTTACTAGTAGTTACTACGACTTACTAGCAGTTTTTTTTTTTTTTAATTCTTTTACTGACACTTAAGCTTGTGCTCCATTGGCTCATCGATACCAGCACTTTTTCATGACCCGGGGACCAATTCCTCGAGTAAGTGCTTCAAATTCTTCTAGGCAAGTCTTTGGGTTTACTACATTTTGAAGGGTTAATTGCAAAAATAATAAAATATTGCTTTTTGAAAGTTCCACAGCAAGAATATCGCCGGGTCCAAGTTTCCCTTGCAGAAATATATGTTTCACAGCAGCTTTACTGGGTCCACCTCGTTTCCCTGCAAAAATGTCGTCTTTTGCAGACTTTGCCAGCATAGAGCCTCTTGACTCAGGGACTCAGGGACTCAGGGACTCAGGCCTGAGGCCAGAGACCCACCATGAGGCCGGTAGCCCAGGCCAGAGTCGGTACCCACCATTTCATTTTTTTGGATTTTTGTGCATGCAGTGGGTTCCTTCGAACGTGTCCATCGCTGGGGAAGTTCCCAGCATGCGCACATGGCAAACAGGGAAAGGGGCAACACAGAAACTGGTTGTGTGTGTGTGTGTGTGTGTGTGTGTGTGTGTGTGTGAGAGAGAGAGAGAGAGAGAGAGAGAGAGAGAGAGAGAGAGAGAGATCTATGTGGCAGTGAGAGAGAGAGAGAGATCTATGTGGCAGTGAGAGTGTGTGTGTGTGTGTGTGTGTGTGTGTGTGTGTGTGTGTGTGTGTGTGAGAGAGAGAGAGAGAGAGAGAGAGACCTATGTGGCAGTGCCACGTG